TTTTTTTTTTTTTTTTTTTTTTTTTTTTTTTTTTTTTTTTGGAGTGTTTTACTCTATCACCCAGGCTGGAGTGCAGTGGTACAGTCTAGCTCACTGAAACCTCTGCCTTCCAGGTTCAAGTGATTCTCATGCCTCAGCCTCCCGGGTAGCTGGGATTACAGGCACCCGCTGCCACATCCAGCTAATTTTTGTATTTTTAGTAGAGATGGGGTTTCACCATGTTGGCCAGGCTAGTCTCAAACTCCCTCGGGTGATCCGCCTGCCTTGGCTTCCCAAAGTGCTGGGATTACAGACGTGAGCCACCATGCCTGGTCTTTTATTTGTTTTTGAGACAGAGTCTTACTCTGTCACCCAGGCTGGAGGGCAGTGGCACAATCATGGCTCACTGTAGCCTTTACTTCCCAGGCCCAAATGATCCTCCCACCTCAGCCTCCCAAGTAGCTGGGACTACAGATGTGCCATCATGTCTGGCTAATTTTTAATATATTTTGGAGCGGGGGACAGGATTTCACTGTGTTGTCCAGGCTAGTCATAAACTCCTGAGCTCAAGCAATCCTCCAGCCTAAGCCTCCCAAAATGCTAGGATTAGGCGTGAACCACCAGGCCAAGCTGGTATTTCACAGTTCTTTCAGAGTGTAGTATATACATGTATCATCAAATCAACAGGACAGTACCATCATCTTAGCATCTTATAATGTATATTTTGTTGATCTAAACTCTTAAGAAATTTTTGATGATGTGTCTACCTTTTCTAACCTTTTGATCTGTGAGTTTATTTTACATGAGTAGTACTTGTGAGAGGGTATGCTTGGGCTTGGCTATTTCCGTATTCCTAGGAGTCCATCTCCATTAAAGATCTCAGAGAAAGAGCACCTCTGTCTCTTGACCACTCAAAATTAATACTTTTGTATTTGCACAGAAAACTAACAATTGATAGCAATTTTCCCTTTTATTAGCTCCTTTCTTCCTCACAGTAGCCCTGTGAGATTTGATGTAATAAGAATTATCAGTTCCATTTTACAGACAATGGAAATAGACACAAAGAGGTTAAGTGCCTCACTCAGAGTGATAGAACCAATATCTTATTTCTCATCTACTGCTGCTTTAACTCCAGAGCCCTTTCTGTGGCTGTAGCCTGCACAGACTACCTCACCAAAGGTTGAGAACCTTGTTTGACCAAGAGCTTCAACTTTGAAGTCAGACATATCAAGGAGGTTTATATGCTTTAGCACTTACTATGTGCCAGGCCCTGTGCTGGGTCATGTATTATCTCATTTGATTCCCACAATAAAACTGGAAGGTTATCCACTTTTTCAGTATGTACAAAACAAAGCCCAAAAGGATGGGAAGCCTGCAATTTTACCCACCTCCATTGGCTTTCAGGCTTTCTCTCCTTCCCCATATTGTTTCTCCTCAGATTAGAACCTAAACCCTACTGACTCTATGGCTATGGGAAAATCACTTCATCGTTCTTAAACCCTGGTTTCTTTGAAAGGCTGTTGTAAGGGTAAGAAAGCACCTTGCACAAGGTTTGGCACATGGTAGGTGCTAATAAGTATTCTTTCTCATTGCTCCCTTGTTGCCTGCTTTGTTCCTACTTATGGATCTATTTTACCTTGGATTCTCTGGAGCATACCACCTCATTTGTTGACCCTTGCCCCATAGTCTCATGCCAGGCAGTGAGGCAAGAGATAAACTGACTGGTTTGAATGACTTACTGGTGATTGACAGGGAGGGCCTGTGTCTGTTGCAGATGATCAGTGCAGAAGCCCCTGTACTCTTTGCCAAGGCAGCCCAGATTTTTATCACAGAGTTGACTCTTCGAGCCTGGATTCACACAGAGGATAACAAGCGCCG